TCCTCTCTCTCCCTCCTTCTCACCCAAACCTTGTCTCACACACAACAAACGAGAGAGATTCCTCCACTTGGATGGCTGTCCCAACAGCCACTCCTCATATATAGGCGCCCACCATATATCCAAAGTGCCCTACATGAAACACACGACCCAAATAAAACCCTAGGGCAAATCCATCCAAGTTTTTCGTCAATGATCCAACTGACCCAGCGCTTTCTTGACTCTGATTTGCCTCAACGCATGCTTCGAGATGCCACCATGTGTCCGCCAATTTATAACTCCCTGGTTTTCAAGCCCAAACAAGTCAAATACGCTGTCGATGATTTTGAAGCCCAAAGCATCAAACCATCCACACCTAGTTTTAAGGACCAAACCAACAAACTCTCTACCAATGGTTTTGAGGCTCAAGCCATCAAACCATCCATGCCTAGATTTTACAACCAAACCAGCAAACCCTTTGATTGTTTTGACGACCCAATTAGTAATATTAAGAATAATATTAGACGTGTTATAAGATTCGTCGTGTATGTATCTAAAATTCTGCACTCGAAATAATGCAGCTCGTGCAAGAAGAGAGAAGCTGAAGTAGCAAAGCCGTGATCTCCACAGACCGTTGGAGCCTCCCATGCCGATCACGGCGTCCAGCATCGGTGGCAGCAGGGGCGAGCCGTTGCGGTCCGCGTCAGCCATCGTCGGCAGCACCGAGAGCGGGCAGCACCTGCTGAAGATCAACGGCTACTCCGGCACCAAGGATGCTGTCCCGACCGGCCGCGACATCAGGTCCCGATCGTTCCGCGTCGGCGGCCACAGCTGGCACATCCGCTACTACCCCAACGGCTCCAACTCGACTTGCTCCGACTACATATCCATCTTCCTCAAGCTCGACCACAATGTCGTCGATGATCCCCTAGGCGTGAGAGCACGGTTCACGTTTAGCTTGCTCGACCATGGGACGGAGAAGCCAGTGCCGCACTACACCTTCGTCGCCGAGCACACCTTCCGTGATGAGGACTGGGGATTCCAGAGTTTCATCAGGAGATACGAACTGGAGAGATCTGAGCATCTCCTCAAGGACGACCGCTTCACGATCAGGTGTGATTTGACGGTCGTCACCGGCAAGGAGATTCAGACGATGGACCTGGACGTCGACGCCACCACCGGCGCAATAATCCCACAGCCGCCACCTGCTGTAGTGGACCATGCAGTGGTGGTGCCACCGTCGGACCTCCACCGTCACCTAGGCCGCCTCCTCGCGACCGAGGAGGGTGCGGACGTGACGTTCCAGGTGGACACCAGGACGTTCGCGGCGCACAGGTGTGTGCTCATGGCCCGATCACCGGTGTTCCACGCCGAGCTCTCCCTCTCCAGCAGCCTGAAGACTACGACCAACAACAACAACGGTGCAGCAGTCACTGTAGTACAGATCGATGACATGGAGGCGCAGGACTTCGAGGCGTTTCTCCACTACATGTACACCGACTCGTTGCCGCCGGAGACGGCGGCGGCGATGCTCCCGGACCTGGTCGCGTCGGCGAATAGGTATCAAATGGAAAGGCTGAGGCTGGTTTGTGAAGACAGGCTATCCAAGCTTGTGGATGTGACAACAGTGGCGGTCATCCTGGCGTTCGCCGTGGAGCACCATTGCCTTGGGCTTAAGGAGGCCTGCCTGAGATTCCTCGAGGATCCAGCAAATCTCAGAGAGTTCGTCAAGACCGACGGCCTCGAGCATCTGAGCACAAGCTGCCCGTCTGTTTTGAAGGACATGATTACCAAGCTTACTGCAGCCCAGGAGCCGTGTTCCTATCGTAGCGACGACGACTCTCTATGGCATCTCATCCAATTAATGGCCATATATACTATGTAAATAGTCAAGAAATGTTAACATAATAAATTATTAAAAGGATGATCTTATAAGGTAATTAAGCATTAATGTGCATGTTTAACTTTAAGCCAAATATTAACAATTGAATCAGACACTTGCCGCAGCTGTCTAAAGAGAAAGAGAGAATATCACTAGAAGAGGGCAGCAACTTTGGCAATGGAATTCTTCAACAAGTTTAGATGGAAAATTTAGAATAGAATAGAGGCCTAAGCCTTGTCTCTTGTTTTCGTAAGTTAACTTTGTTTATTATTCTTCAAGTGGAATTTGGACTAAGGACTGTGGCTCTGTGTTGTTTGATTGTACTCGTTCATTCCTGTTGGAATCCAGAAAATTTGTATTCCTTAATTAATAAATTAACAATTGAATCAACGATAATGTTAGGATGAGGACGTCCGGACGAACGGACTCCGACCCGCGCCACCCCGCCTGCGCCTGTCCCTGGACCCGACCTGCCCACGCCTTTACCCCGGTCCTGACATGCCTATGCCCGCATGCGTGCCTTATGAGCCACCACTTCTCTCTCATGCCTCCAACGCTACTCCCTCCCTCCTTCCCTCTCTGCGGTGTGGGCGAGCGTCTTGGCACGGCAGCGCAGTGACCTCGGCGTGAGCAGCGGCCTCGGCGTGAGTGGGCCTCGATGAGGAGGCCCGAGCGGCCCTCGGCATGGAGGCACAACAGCGGCGGCTGCCCCGGTCACCAGCAGACCAACGCGGCAGGGCCAACACGAGGGGCTCCCCGGCGGATCTGGCTCCCTCTCCGAGTCGTGCGGGCGTTGCCTCCTTGCCGCATCCTCCATGTCGCGTCGCGCAGCTGCCGCCGCTGGGCCACTGGCTCCGGTGAACTCCACATGCCGACGAGTCTCCATTCTCCCAAGCAGCATAGAGATGTTATGCTACGCTGAAAGCGCATGCTGCAAGCGTATGTTTCAAGTGTTTCAGATATTTCAGAGGTATATTGCAAGTGCTCCATATGGATGTTGTAAAAGTAGATCGGGATGTTGCACATGATGCGTATGTTGCAAGTGTTTCTGATGAATATTCCAAGCGTTTGTTCAAAAAAATTTATCTGTTTTGGACGTGTGTTTGCAAGCGTTTTGATATGGATGTTGCATATGTTTCACACATATGTTGCAAGAGTATGTTCCAAATATTTCAGTCTTATACTCCAGCAAGTGTTTCCATGTTGCAAGTTGTAAGGGTTTATCTGGAAGTTGCATATGTTGCAATGGCTATACACATATGTTACAAGTGTATGTTTCAAATATTTTAACTGTTTTCAGAAGTATTTTGCATGTTTTTTATCTGGATATTGTGTATGTTGCAGTGGCTATACACATATGTTGCAAGCATATGTTTTTAAATGTTTTAGACGTATATTACAGCAAATGCTTCATGTTGCAAGTGTTTTTATTAGTAGACACGGGAAGCGAGCACCAGGCAGAGGTGGTACCTGCGCGTGCATGCACAACAGCCAGCGTGGCATGCGTAGGCGCACAACAGCAGCAGCAGGCGCATGCGGGTGCGTGCAACAGGCGGGTGCAGGCAGCAGTAGCATGCGCAGCAGCAGCAGCGCATGTGGGCGGGGGCAGGCAGCGGTAGCAGCAGGCGCATACGGACATGTGTAGCAGGTGGGGCAGGCAGCAACCACTACAAGAAATACCCTTATACATGACGGTTCACCGGTGACCTTCTGAGAAATCATCATAGAATGCTGTAATTTATGACGGATTGTTTCTAAGATGATAAATCTACGATGACTTGTTAACATATCGTCATGGTTTGACGTCACAGACCCATCGCACACTCTGTGTCTAAATTTTCGTCGCTCCGCACCATATAGTTTCGCACGCCACGCGGCAACAAACCTCAAAACCGTCCCTACCTCTAAAAATTTCTCAATCTTACCCTCTCTTCCACCACATCTCCCTTATCCTCTAGTTCTCCCACGCACGAACAGGATGGTTTCAGGCGGCGGCACATCCACGCAGGCTCGCTGCTCCTGGCTCCCCAATCCCAAATCTCGCCTCTTCGTTCTTCAGCCTAGGCGAGCGACGGCGGCAAGGGGCGGCGCTCCACACCAGGCGAGATGAAGCAGGGCGGGTGCCGAGGACTCGGCCCGCGGCCACGCGAGACTGCTGTGGCCCTGGGGCTCCTTGCGGCTATCGAATCTACAGGGCAGTGGTGGCCGCTGACCAGCACGCTGGTTTGTCGCCTCGCCCGCCGAGACGGAATGGGATGTCACGACCCGCTGATAACGCCAGGGCGTGGCATCAGCGGCGAACAGGTGCCCGGCATGGAGCCGTCCCTGTCACCATCTGCAGTGTCGGCGGAACCCGCATAAAGGAGAAGAAAAGCCTGGCGGTCCTGGAAGCCTTCCTCTCCTTGGCTCTTCTCCCTCTTTCTCTCTATGTAACCTGCTCTTCCCCTTCGTCTATAAGAGGGGAAGCAGGACGCCCCAAGAGGGAGGACGGCGGTTGACCACACTACACGGCTGTAGACATCAAAACACACGCCATAACACACCTTAGGAGCGCACGCACATCAGAGACTTGGGACATGTCCCTCTCTCGCTCGTTTGTAACCCCAACTATAAACTTTCAGTGCTAGTAACACGAGCAGCAGCGACGAACTGGACATAAGGACTTTCTACCCGAACCAGTATGAACATCATGTCTTCTAAGCATACCATCTGAGCCAGACGCGCAATAACTCGAAACACCGACACCGTGCATGTGAAATGGTCCTATTTTTGTCTTTGGTATTTTAGTCTGTTTGCAGATCATCATCATATATTGTGGTCATTCTTATAACTCTTTGATCGCTTTTTTGAAAAGCGGGGTGTTATTCTTGATCATGAATACATGAGTGTGCATGTCCCTGGCATGTCAAAGTGCAAGGAAATGCCTAATCAAATCCCCCATTGTGGGAAAGTTCAGCAAGCTTTATACTGAATTACTATTATTATTATTATATGAAATCTATCATCATTCATCAAGGACATCTCCCCTTTCTGGGGAGATCATTGTTTTTGGCAATTTCAAAGTTCCTCAAGAGTTCAATTGCGCTGTAGCAACAACATAGAAAATACTCCGACTGACCCCTGAGCGGTCGTTCCACTGCAGGCGCTTCAAGGGCCCATATCCTCTCAACGATAACCAGGGGCTGAAGGAGCAGGCCTCTGATGATGATGAGAACGACAACTGGGAGCTCCCTGTAGGAGAGTTGCCTTCTTACAGGTAGAGATTGTCGAGAAATTGAAGCATGGTTTTGTCTGACAAGAGTTTCGAAGCCTGAATCTTCAGTTCGTCCTGTCAGTTAGAGGAAATTGAGTAGGTGTTGCCAAATCGTTTGTAGCCGATTGGCGACCAAAAGCACGGTAAAGATGTAAAGCTTTGTTCTGAATGTTAGTATGTCTCTAGAGCAGACCCTCCTGACTGTGCTGCAACAGCAAATACTTGATCTGTATTCAGTTGCTGTGGATGGATGTACTGGCTAGGGAAAGAGAGACTGAATGTCTGGTGTGTTCTCCCAAGAATTCTGATGCTAATTTTCCTGGTATGGAAAAGTTGAGTTCTGATGCAGTAGACACTTGGTTTGGTGATCAACTCAGAAAAACTGTTCTTTGCAGCTGCTAAATTGCCATACCGGTCTTGGCCCAATCATGTTGCAAATTCAGTTTTGAATACGTTACAATGAGGAATTATTGAACATGTGCCAGAAGTGACCAAAAACGACGTGGAGAAAACGACGAGGAGATTTCAGACGAAGAAAGGAGAAGAGTGGAGGAAAAGCTCGTGGCCGTGGCGTCACCTCCTCCTGTCTGCATGCCCATTTAATTTGCCACGTTATATTCCGGGTTCCGGCGTTATTCGGCGTATGATTGGGGTTCGCTTTTCTGATTTCTCCTCGACTTTTTTTTCTTTTGTTTTTTGATTTTTTTTTCATAGAGCTCGAGAGCTACACAGCGCAGCAACGGAATGTGCAAGGTGTTCCTACCGGAAGGAACGCAGCATTCGGCTATCTCTGGACCCACCAGCCCAGTCTTCTCTTTTATTTACCTTCGTATGTATAATTGCGCTTTAATGAAAAACCGATAAAACCTCTCAAACTTTGATCACTCGTCTGTACTCTGTCCGTCCTAAAATAACTCTCCATCTCGTATCATGTACTCTCTCTGTCATAAAATAAGTCTTCATTTCATATTTTGAGAAGTCAAATAATCTCGACATTAACCAAATATATACAAAACAATATTAATATTTGTGATACCAAATAAGCATTATTAGATTAATTGCGTCATACATCCAATCCTTATCCAACTTCCACTCAATCATCTCCATAAGAGTTTTTATAGTAAACCTATTTGAAGATAAAAATATTGATCTTATTTTTTATAAACCTAATCAAAGTTGAGATTAGTTGACTCCTTGTATTGCGAGAGGGAGGAGTATGTTTTCAAAATAACTATATTTATTTTACAAAAAACAAAAAAATGTGTGTATTTATCTTGAAAGCTACTTCCATAATGTTGTTTTTGTTTACCAAGAAGGTAGTTTTATAAAAAAAAACTCGATGCAGTACCTTTCTAAATTACATGTGAAAAAGATAAAATATTTGATTCAGATTCTTACATCTTCCTTTTCCTTAGTGGCTTTGCTCGATGCAATCAATGAACATGGCCATGTTGAACACCGAAGCCAGAGTGCTTATACCAAACTCAATGATCATCAATCCTAAAATGTTGGACATGTCACAAGATCCAACGTTTTAGAACCAATCCAAAACGTATCTGAAGTGGTGAAAGAACATCAACAATTGACTCGTTAGGTACAGTATAGGCCGCAGATTCATCACCTCTAATCCTTGATTTGTCATGTTTGATGCCTGATTTCCACTCTGCAACCCTTGACGATACGTTTGATGCCTCAGAGTTACTGTCCTTATAGGGAGTGCCCAGGAGCACCCCTCACGTTTAGATAAATTGAGCTTTGCGGAGGAAATCGATGCATGCAACAACGACCTCATCGTGGCCATCCTTGAAGTCATTGGCCCTGTTCGCTTGGAGAAATCTGGATGAATCTGAAAGAATTTGTGAGAGCGTGAACAGTTTGGAGGAATCTGGATGAATCTGAAGGAATTTGTGAGAGCGTGAACAGTGAATTTCAACCGGCTACAGTGAATTTCGGCTGGTTTTTCAACCATGCGAACGGCGCCATTGCAGGTAGCAAGCTCCTGACTAAAATCATCTGCCGTCAGTAGATTTATTTAGACCAAATCTAATCAAATTAGATCTAGTAAATGAGAGATGGATCCTCTCTCTCCTTGTCACCGACGGATTCTCTAGAGAGAAAGAAGAGAGAACCTAAGCGGCGGCAAGAGGACCCTGAAAGGGGTGACGGGGCAGGGACGACTGGTCAATGTCGTGTTTATTTGGTATTATAACTACATTCAAATGAGTAATCAATGATGATAAAAAATCAAAATCCAGAGGGCATAACAAGAGCACACGTGTCATGATTCCTTTTCTCGAAAATGGCCATCCGAGCCAAGTTGTACGTCTTGCACAAGACATATCGAGCCTCTAACGCAGGGTATCCCTAAATTGTAGATTTGGAAATCGATACGTAGCTCTCGCTATATATGGAGATTGTGCTCTAGATAAAAGGTCAAAGTATATATCTAGAAAAGTCAAAATTACTTCTAATTGGAAACACAAAGGAAGTACTGTAGTAATTTTTATCTGACGCACGCTAGTCAGGCGAGGCACCAACAACAAGTCGCCGGCAGCCCGGCATCCAGCACTTCTCGGATCCAATGACGGCAGCCATCTGATCTGGTCAGCAGGTCATTACTCTCTTGGATCCAACGTGCGCCTTGGGCGTCACCACGACTTGCATGGCCCCATTCGAACCATTGAATCTTGATCGAAAAATCTTGCTTTTGGTTGAATTATCGTGAGAGAAAATATCGCTTTAGGTTAAAAATCACCGAATAAGTCGAATATAGGTAAGCCCGAACAGGCCAGCCATCGGCGACTCGGCGCTCTGCTCGATCAGCTGGTCCTCGATGGTGTGCTATGGTGTGACCCCGACTAACCCATACCGACACCGGAATGCAATTTGCGGTCTCGTTTCGATGCCAGCTACTACTAAACTTTTCCTTTTTTTTTCTTTTCTGTACGTACAAAAAAATCATTTTAGACGATTCAGGCCACGAGGTTGTCAGCGACTCGCAAGCAGCAATCGATGGTACTGAAATGAGGGCGCGTTTAGTTCCGAAAATTTTTTGCTTTTAATTTCTTGAAGACTTTCGTTGTTATTTGGTAAAAATTGTCTAATTATGGACTTATTTAGGCTTAAAAGATTCGATCTCGCGATTTTGTGTGCAATTAGTTTTTTTTCATCTACATTTAATCTCCAAGCAGCAATTCGATGTGACGGGGAATCTTGAAAATTTTTGGTTTTTGGGTTGGAACTAAACGCGCCCTGAGTACCAAATGCACAAGGATTCGGTCTACTAGTTTTGTCAGGCAGGAAGAATCCATGTGCAGATCTGGCTGCAGATACCCGCGTCAAAAGAGCTGCAATATGCAGGAGGAAGAAGCCGGTGAAAGGACACACGGATCTGCAGCAGTTCTGCCTGCCCCGTATCATGAACACAGGCCTGTCCAGTTGTACAATGTGCTCCTTACGTAAAAGAATGCAATTATCGCTTTTTTAAAAAGTCAAACCATTTAAATTTTGATTAAAATTATATAAAAAATATTAATATTCATGATATAAAATAAATATAGTTATAGAATATATTTTCATAATAAATTTATTTGGATACGTAAATGCTAATACCATAAAGTATAAACTTAGTCAAAGTAAAGCTAATTTAACTAACACAGATTTCATGATTGCAAAATTTTTTTTTTTTTTGGACGGAGGGAGTGCAACGCTAGGAGGGGCCGGCCGCTCTGCATCCCAGGCAGCAATGTCTCGTGATCCCTCCAACATGCAGAGATAATGCAGCTGGGCTGGCTGTGGCACACTGCAACAGAAGCTGAGCTAATAATCAAGCACAGTTGAAAGATTTTAAGGTTTGAATAGTGGAGGAGCATTTTCAGACGTTGTTATGGCATGATGTGCCATGCCAGAGGCTGGGACAACGAAAGATGTGCCAGCCTACCTGCCAGGAATTCAGGCCTCCTGTCCAACGCAAGAACCTTCCAAGCCTCCAACCAGGCAAAAGTACCCGGTTATCATGGCAGCTCATGTGTCTACCTCTACATACAAACATACATGCATTTTATTGTATCATTCACCATTATTTTCATCCATGCATGTGGACGTTATTTTATTTTCAGCTCTAGTATATATATAAATACTGTTCTCACGTGGTACCAAACTGCAGCTCAGATTTGTAGTTTACTCTACAAGCCACGCTCACCTGTTTCGGCGCCATCTTCAGATGGCAATATCACCAGAAGGCGCCACCAACCCGGTGCACTGCACACACTTGTGCCAGCTTTGGTATTGTGGCCCATAGTTTTCCTTGATTACTACAGATAAACTAGCATCAGGAACAAGGGGTGGGTCTCAGAATAGGATACTGCAAAGGCTGTGCCTGTTTGCTTCCCCTTGCTTTTGACTCCAGTATGATTAGCCTGTCCCTGATAAACCTAGGAATAGTGGTACAAAAAAGGAACTGGGACCTTGATCCAGTCCAGGCAATGCCACCCTGTCATCGGACTTTAGATGATAAAGTAAAGATCAATGCTGCACCAAAATAGAAGACTAGGTTTTATCTAGCCTCATAGCCTGTGCTTATCTAACATCTCTGTGTCAAGTTTTGTGGGCTAACGGTTGAAAGCTCAGTGACCAAAGATGGGGAAGAAAACAAAGGTTATGAGAGTGATCTGAGGTTGGTCTGGTTCTTTCCTTTTCCTTCTAAACATGCTGATTTGATGCAAGAGGATGCTTTTCCCAGCACTACAAGTTACAGATAAAGATGCTGAACATAAAGTTGCCATTATGTAAATGTAAAGTGAAAAAACAGCAAAAGCACAATGTTCTGTGTGGTTTTTCACTGAGGGGACAAATATTCTTTCAGGATCAGGACCACTACTACAGCAAGGTGCAAGGAAGGTGCACCATCCTTTTCTTCATCACAAACTACAAGCTTGTTCTTACAGAATTCAGTGTAGTTTCCTCCCAAAAAAAAATGTTCACAATCGCAGAGTTGGTGACAATATCTATTGAGGTATGAGAGCATTCGGCAATGTAAAAAATCAGAAGAAGAAAGTCAAGTAGTCATCCTATTCATTCCCTCTTTCATCAAGAAAACTTACAGTGAACGTGCTACCTATCTTTATCTACATCCTACAAAAGAATCCTTTCCTTAGATATGTAAAAAAAAATGGATGGCTCTACGAGAAATAAGAACAGGAAAAGAAAACCTGAAGGCTAAATTTACCAAAGAGCAAATCACTCTTCTACCTAACTCTTTTTTGTGTTTCTTTCCCTGTCTGTGTATACCCATCATCTACCATGGATCAAATACAATGTTTACCCATGATCTACCATGGAAGACTTCCGGTGGCTGGATCTGTGAATGCTTTATGCACAAAATCTTTAAGACCGGTATCAAATACTTCACAGAACCGACGTGGCCAATCCTCTGGTTCCACCGGCTTAGTCCCCAATCCTGGTGCCCTGTCCCTGGATCCAACGTTCTCCTCGTCCTTCCAATCAGCAACATAGGTCGCTACACGCCCAGAAAACTTATCCTTGAACACCTCCCAAACTTGATACTTGTAATGGTTGATGAGCATCGTACCCTGACCAATGTTCACATACCTCACCCCTTCTTTCAGATGGAAGTGGTGCACCACATTGATGAGTGATGGGTTTAGTGTGTCCGCCTGACAATTGACTTGTGGCGCTCCGGTGCAGCAAGCCTGCAGGTGTAACCTGTTGTAACGCCTTTCTTGGGAATTTTAGTCCGACCTGAGGGACCAAAGCTGTGGCATGCCGTCCCTGAGCTCGCCGATCCGTGGCCTGTTTGAGTAGTTCTGGAGAATATTTGGAAGAGTCTGGTTGCCAGGGAAGTGCAAGAACTCGTCGATGTCGATGAACCCCACCCACTCACAGTTCTCTCGGGCCCTGAGAGCACAATGTGCAAAACCAGCCTCCTGAGACTTCATCCATGGCCACAGATGGCGTGTCACATTGTACCTTGATTGATCCATGGTACCGAGGACCTGCTCAATGTCATCATCACTGTTGTTGTCGTAGATGAACCACCGCTCCACACCGATATGCGAGTGGTAGATGATCCATTCTCGGAGGAACCTTGCCTGGTTGCGAAGCATGGTGCATACACACATTGAATGTGCCTTTTGCCGCCGATGTCTGTTATACCGAGGAAGTGGCTCAGGTTCAGCTATTGATGGCAGCGTAGAGTCCCTCTGGCCTTTCGTCCTGATGGAGACCAACATAGGCTTGTCATCACTGTCTCCATTGCGATTGGGATTAGTTGTCATCCTGAGATACCGGCGAATGCGAACTGGTGTCACACACGGAAAATCTCTTGTGCAGCCGAAATCACAGGGATGTGAGCACATGCTTTGGCTTTGACAGGTCACGGCCAAAGACGCACTGATACCTCGATGCCACACCCAGACGGCCTGGCCGGAGGTTCATCCTTGGCGAACACAATGGTGGAGTTGTCCCTGCTGTCAACAAGTGCAGTATACACAAGCCTGTCCCATTGTAGCGGGCGCCACCGGGGGTGACAGGGACAGGGACAGAGAGACATCCACACCAGATGGCTCGGCAGGGCAATGGACGAGGCTGGGTCCATCTGGCAAGGAGGCGGCCGAGAGGGTGGTCGGCGCAGCCCGAGGAGTTGGCAGGGGAGTACAAGCACTCAAACCGCTCAGTAGCTGGCAGCGACGACCCGTCCTTGAGGATCAGGAGAACACGATCCGGGAAGGCAACCGCGTGCTGGATTTGGACTGACGGCAACACGGTGTCAGCGCTGCTGCCAGCTTCCTGCGCTCTGGCATCAGAGGAAATGGCGTTCAGGGTCGCCGACGGCCACGCGGTCCTGAGCACCGGCCGGAATGATGCTGCATCAGAGAAGAACATCAGCACCTCGTGTAGAGAAGAAACAAACCAAGCGGATTCAGCATGCTTGAATTCATAAACACCAACAAACACATTCTTCATGTGATGGTGTGAGCTTTTCCTGTTCTAGTAAAAATCAGTCAAAAGCAAACGCCATCACTAGTATAATGTATTCACTTGCTAACGTTCCAACCCAGGTGCCACTGGCGCGTTTCCAATGAAATCATTAACTAACGGACAGAATCCAAGGAGAAAATTGCAATTTTCCCGGGAGTTGTAAGACCCTCAGATCTACCGCAACGCCCCCACAAAAAAAGGAAGGAACCGACTTTTTCCTCACCTTCCCAACAACGAACACCAAACACATACCAAAATTGTATCTAAAAATGAGAACTTTCTCCCCCCAAATCATTGTTAATCCCACCACGCTCGAAGCACACGATTCTCGTGACAGTACAATTCCGGCGACCCACCTAAACCCCACCTAAGATCCAATAATTCACGCCAGGAGAAGGCAGACAGTCCAGTGAGGAGGCAAATGGGAAGGAAAGCTCACCTCCAATGACGTGCACGCCGCCGAGGACGACTACGCCAGAGCACAGGAACGCGAAGAGCGCCGCGAAGACACGCCGCTGCGGCGCTGCCGCCGCCGCCGACGGCGAC